AGATGACATCATAGGCCTTCTTATCATCAACTTCCTGAGTAGCTTCCTCAAAAAACTCCAACAGATTTGTTAAACAGGATCTACCTCTCCAAAATCCATGCGGGCTATCCCTCAAAATGTTAACCTACCAGGTTAATCCAGGTAATCTACCATTTTCTCTTTGATTATAGCCTCCATAACTTTACCAGTTATACAAGTTAGACTGATTGGCCTATAGTTTGACAAATTACTTCTATCCCCTTTTTTGAAAATGGGCATTATGTTGGCATGCTTCCAATCAGAAGGTACCACACCTTCAGATAAGGATTTTTGAAACAGTAATGTTAAGGGTCGGCAAAGAAGTTCAAAATGAAACAACATATGACATAAGAGAACAAAACAGTAGTGCTTAATGTGAGAGATTGAACATCATGGAAAAGAGTGAGTAAGAAATGCAGGAACATGACAATAAAGCCACAGATTTTATAGTTGTAGTACACTTTTTTTGTCCAAAATACACTTTGGGGCTGCATGAGTTAAAAGTTTTAATGATGCAATGAAATGTATAGGAATTCCATGCATTCTTATGCCCTGTGTTTTCTGGGACAGATTCCAGACTACAATACCGACACTTAAAACATAAAAGACGTGAGCATCACTTACAGAAGATACTGTATCTCAGCTCTGAAACTGGCCATCACTGCCTGGTGAATGCCACTCTGTGTAACAAGCAGCTCATTTTCAAGGGCTGTGGCAAGTTCACGGAGATTCACCTTATCATCCACTGAACTGAAACCCAGTGCCTACACAAACACATACATAATTAGACAGTAAACTGTAGTTCACATGGACAAGCTAATGTTGCTATTAATGCACATAAAAGGAAACTCGCTTCTTAAAAACAAAAAAATAGTATCTTTTCAAATGAACAAATTAACTGACCTCAAGAATTTCAGTGCTATTTTCAATGCCAGCCTCCTGCCAAGCATCCAGGACACACTCCACCTGGGTGTACCCTGTTCCATCATCCAGACTGGAGAAGAGTTTTATGCCAGTTGTACTTCTCAGGGATGTTGGGGTGACTGTACTCCGACCAGTGCCATCAAATAGCTGATGAGCAATAAATAAGATAAATAAAATCACCCAAGTGATGATTTGGCAGCTATTTTCCCCCAAATTTCCTTTAATCTAGAAAATTTATAGTACAAAAGTATAGTACAAATTATAGTACAGTTTTTAAAAAATTATTGACACTCTTAAATAACAATTGACTTAAATAACAAATCCCCCAGAGAGGATAACAGCACTGAGGCTATTGCACTACTCCTTCATGCAGAACATTCCAACATCCATGATAGTGTTATGTATGCACTTATGTGCTACCCAATTCACATCAGACAATAATGGGATTTAAATCCCAAGAGAGATTCCCATTGTTAAACACCAATTTTGTGTTGCTGCAACTATTTCAGTATTCATATTGATGTCCGTTTTGGGATTACTGTTTTCTACTGAAAGGTTCATCTACAGCCAAGTCTCAGCCGCCTTGTTGACATGGAGATGGTATCTAACTGTTAATTTTTTAACTTGATAACCTCAATATTATCGTACTGTGCAGTTCTAAAACATCTCCAGACCCATCAGTTGCACAGCCATCCCACGACAATCTAAAGTCATTACATGCCTCATTCAGGAGCTCTTCCAGTCTGCCTGTAAAAGGAAGTGCTGCCCGCTGCAGGATGTTGGGTCCATCAGGATTCCACAACTGTAGCTGACCTACAAAAAGATGCACTGCAGGAGGCTTTCTGGAGTGTAGTCATTCAAGTTAATCTGCATTCCCATATCAACAGTAAATTGCTTTGGAAGGAAACTTACCTTGTGCTTCATATTCCTCTACAGTGCTTGTACGTGTATCCCAGCACTTTGGAGAAGCAAACATTGACTGGTTAGACCTAAACTGCATTTCGTTGCCTTGTACTTGTACATGTGTAATAACAATAAAGTTGAATCTAATCTAAATCTAAATACTGTATATACACACACATATATTATATATGAAATGTGTGTGTGTGTGCAGTGGTTAGCACTGTTGCCTCACACCTCTGGGACCTTGGTTTGAGTCTCCGCCTGGGTTACATGTGTGTGAAGATTGCATGTTCTCCCCATGTCATCATGGGGTTTCCCCCCACAGTCCAAAGACATGCTGGGGCTAATTGGAGTTATTAAATTGCCCATAGGTGTGCATGTGTGAGGGAATAATGTGTGAATGTGCCCTGCGATGGGCTGCCCCCCAGTTGTGGGTTGTTCCCTGCCTCGTGTCCATAGCTTCTGGGATAGGCTCTGGACCCCCTGCGACCAGGAAGGATAAGTGGTTTGGAAAATGGATGGATGGGGAGATTATTATATATATATATATATATATATATATATATATATATATATATATATATATATATATANGGGGGGGTATGTTAAAGAAAGAAAGAAGAATCTCCGAAAGTTAGGACACACTGTGATACCTGGTTACACTATTTAATTTCCAAGATTCTTCTGGTATAACCATGAGGACATCTTTGCAGTGGTAGCTATACATATTTGCTTATTCAAATTTATATTAAGTGTTTAAGTGTTAGGGGTAAAATAGGTGATACTCCGTGAACATAGTTTTAAGGATGGCACACAAAACTAAGATTGTCTAAGGACACACACAAACATAACCTGTATATTGAGACTAGCAATCATAAGCAAAGAAATATACACGGTATACACAAGCTGACTTAGAAGAAACTTTCTTTTGGTTGTTGGCCTGTTGGGTGAGTGGTATGTAAGGCAGGATATCTGGGGAGGGGGTTGTGTACCAAGTCAAGGGACCCCTGTCCATGAGGTCCACTCTGCTGTCTGTAGGTACTTAAATCTTTGGGCAATAAAAGTTGGAGTGCTGCCCTTGTTATCTGTGTGTGTGTGTGTGTGTGTGTGTTTAAGTGTGTTTGTGTGTGTGGGGTTTGTGCCTAGGCCAGCGAGTACCTCTCGTACCAGGGTAGGCCTTGTCTCAGGCCACCTGGAATTTAAGCTCTGTCATTTGTGCATGTGTGATCCTACAACAGAATGCAGCAAGGCATTACTTTATTTCATCATTAAATAATGCTTTTTTGGTACAGAACAGGGTTGGGGCCATTCCGCAACGCATTCATCAATTCCAATCCAAATCAGGAAATGGAACTGGAGTTAGAATTTATATCTCCCTGAAAATTGAATTCAGTTCCAGTTCTGTTCCTCATAGTTTCTTTTTCCAATCCCAACTCCAGTTCCATTTCCTGATTTGGATTGGAATTGATGAATACATTCCGGAATGGCCCCAACCCTGGTACAGAATATATATTTTTACACAAAAATGAGCGCTTGACATTTGGCCGCCCCATACATTTTAACATTGCATCACAATACTGCAAAGGTAACGGTTTCTGTAATGTTGTCCAGAAACCAGTTTATTTATGACTTGTAACTTTCTAAATACAGTGGTACCTCAGAACTCTAATTTAATCCGTTCAGAACTCCGGATCGAATCCTAAAAAGTTCGAGTTGTGATCGAATTTTCCCCATAAGAAATAATAAAAAACCAATTAATTGGTTCCCGGCCCCAAAAAATTACACCTAAATATGTTTTTTTTAAGCATTTAAACAGAAAATGAACCGGATAAAACAAAAAGAGCATATACTGTACTAAACACATCTAAGCACATTTATCAAAACAGTAATTTTTAAAGTAAGAAAATAAACGTATCCAAACAATGTGTAAAGTTAAAAAGAAAACAATGTGCCCTGCCCCGATCGTCCGCTCCTTCCGTGTGCCACGCCCCCTCATCAACCCAGTGTGGAATCACCGTGTGATCAGCTGTTTCTGGTTGTTGTCATTAGTCCTCTGTATTTAGTCAGCGTTTCAGTTTGTTTCCCTAGTCAGGTCATTTTATTGTCCGTCTGCATTTTGCCTGCCTTACCTGTAATTAAACCCCGTATTCCCCGATACCCTGACGTCTGCGCCTTTGTCTCCGTTCCGTCCCCGCTCTGCACGATAATATTATTATAATTAAATGTATTAATGATTTATTATTAATATTAAATTAATTAATAAGAAATCTTTATTTTTAAATGTATTTTATTATATAATAATAATTACTGTTACTGTCTATCATTGTCTAAATGTATTTTTACAGTCTAAATATATTTATTCAGCTAGTGTAAACATGCTTGATGCTATCACAGCAAATGCCAGGCTGAGATTGAAGCTTTACCCTTTGTTTCCGCTGAGAGACGTGCTGCATGACTCATTTCCCTGTGCATACAAGTTATCCTAGGTCGGCGTTCGTGGTTTGACTTCTGAGATTCAGATCAAGTTCTAGGTAATTTTTTTCGAACTGGTTCATTCGAGTTCTAATGAGTTCGAGAACTGAGGTACCACTGTATACACACACACACACACACACACACACACACACACACAGTGGTACCTCAGAGCTCGAATTTAATCCGTTCAGAACTCTGGTTCAAATCATAAAATGTTCGAGTTCTGATTGAATTTTCCCCATAAGAAATAACGGAAAACCAATTAATTGGTTCCCAGCCACAAAAAAATGACACCTAAATATGTTTTTTTAAAGCATTTAAACACAAAATGAACAGGATAAAACAAGAAGAGCATATACTAAACACATATAAGCACATTTATCAAAAAAGTAATTTTGTCACACCACGCACAGGACGAGCAAGCAGGGAGCACAGAATCAGGGTTAGGCAGATGGAAATCCAAGAACAAAGGGCAAACAATGCACAACAAGGAGTATACGTCAATGAAAGGACTGGGGAAACATACTTGAACATGGACTTAAATGCACATGACTAATTAATAACAATAATAATAACTAGAAACAGCTGATGACATCGGGATATCACACGAGGTTAACGAGGGGGGCATGGCACACAGGAGGATCGTACGAGCCGGGCATGGCACACAGGAGGATCGTACGAGCCGGGTGTGTCAAATTTGTCAAGTAAGAAAATAAATGTATCCAAACAATGTGCAATGGCTACCAAAATGATATAAAGTACAGTGCATTAACTGATATTTTCAATAAAAAGCACTATCACTAACAAACGATGCTATCACAACGAATGCGAGACTGAGACTGAAGTGTTACCCTTTGTTTCCGCTGAGAGATGTGCTGCATGACTCATTTCCCCACGCGTACAAGTTATCTTAGGTCGGCGTTTATGGTTCAACTTCTGAGATTGAGATTGAGTTCTAGGTAATTTTTTTTCTAACTGGTTGGTTCGACTTAAGACATTCGAGTACATAATGAGTTAGAGTACTGAGGTACCACTGTATATATACACTCACCTAAAGGATTATTAGGAACACCATACTAATACGGTGTTTGACCCCCTTTCGCCTTCAGAACTGCCTTAATTCTATGTGGCATTGATTCAACAAAGTGCTGAAAGCATTCTTTAGAAATGTTGGCCCATATTAATAGGATAGCATCTTGCAGTTGATGGAGATTTGTGGGATGCACATCCAGGGCACGAAGCTCCCGTTCCACCACAT